GCCCGCTGGCCGTCTGAGCTCTCCGAGGCAATCTTGAAGCCCTCGGGGCCGTCTTGGGTGACTCCTGGGCCGTCTTTGGGCTCTCTGCGGCCGTCTTGGGACTCTCTAGTGGGCCTCTTGGAGCGGCTTGGGTGGCCGCTTGGGCCGTCGAGGACGCGGTGGAAACCGGACCAGAAGGTCGTAGATGCTGAAAATGTACGTGCTCCTTCGGGAATGGGACGCTTTGGGCTTCTTGGGGCTCTCTGGGGGGGGGATCATGGAGCACTCTTTGGGCGTCTTGGGGGGCCCTTGGCTCTTCCTGAGGCCAACTTGGCGTGTCTTGGAGCGCTCGAGCTGGTCCTGGCGGCCCCTGGAGCCGTCCGAGAATCCTGAGGGCCCCGCGCCAGGAGCTCTCGGGCCGCCCAGGGCCCCCATGCCAACCCGTGGCCGCGGTTAAGGTCAGGTCGGGCATGTCCCCCTACAGGCGGACTTCGGATGGCAACTTGCAAATAGCAAAACAACATTCACAAAGAGTCTGAACATACTCGAAAACTCGTCACCATACGAGTTCTTGACTATTGTTGCATATTGCTCCTGTAGAGGGACAGGCCCGATTTAAGATTAAGGGCCCTCTCCTGGACTACATGTACGGTGATGACATTGGATGAGGAAACCTTCGATAAGGAATCCAGGGTCTGGGAGCCAGTGGGAAGCCAATCGTGGATTGGTAATGGGCATCACCGCCACCGTCATCAGATAAGGAACCCTCCAGGGTCTGAAGCCTCCTGGGCACGTTCCATAACGAACGCCCCCCCCCCCCCCCCACGTGAGTATATAACTATATATCTATGTGTATTCATATATATATATAGAGATGTGTACGTATACATACATATATATATATATGGACTATATATACATATGTATATACATATATATATATATATATATATATATATGTGTAGAACCACGCGCGCGCTTCGCGCGCGCTTAGGTTCTGTCGAGTCACAGACCCAGGAATCGTTGTGAGAAGAAATTGGTGACGCGAAGCGTCGTGGGGGCGTCCTTGGACGTCTGGGGTCTCCTGGGGCCTCTTGAGGGGCCTCCTGGGGGCCTCCTGGCGGCCTCTTGGGGCGGAAGGCTCGAGCTTGCGGTTCGTGGTCCCCCTCTGGGCCCCCTCTTGGGCCCGTCTTGGGGCCCTCTTGGGCCATCTTGGGCGCCTCTTGGGCCGTCTTGGGGCCCTCTTGGGCTGTCCTGGGGCCCTCTTGGAAGCTTCTTGGGCCGTCTTGGGGCGGTCTTGGGCGCCTCTTGGGCCGTCCTGTAACGTCGGAAAGCCCAAAAGACAACTTTGTTGAACATGTACGTTTTACGAAGGGAATGGGCCAACTTTTGCGTCTAGGGGCCCTCTTGGGACGCATGTTGGAGGCTTCTTGGGGCCTCTTGGGGGCGTCCTTGGACGTCTGGGGTCTCCTGGGGCCTCTTGAGGGGCCTCCTGGGGGCCTCCTGGCGGCCTCTTGGGGCGGAAGGCTCGAGCTTGCGGTTCGTGGTCCCCCTCTGGGCCCCCTCTTGGGCCCGTCTTGGGGCCCTCTTGGGCCATCTTGGGCGCCTCTTGGGCCGTCTTGGGGCCCTCTTGGGCTGTCCTGGGGCCCTCTTGGAAGCTTCTTGGGCCGTTTTGGGGCGGTCTTGGGCGCCTCTTGGGCCGTCCTGTAACGTCGGAAAGCCCAAAAGACAACTTTGTTCAAAATGTACGTTTTACGAAGGGAATGGGCCAACTTTTGCGTCTGGGGGCCCTCTTGGGACGCATGTTGGAGGCTTCTTGGGGCCTCTTGGGGGCGTCCTTGGACGTCTGGGGTCTCCTGGGGCCTCTTGAGGGGCCTCCTGGGGGCCTCCTGGCGGCCTCTTGGGGCGGAAGGCTCGAGCTTGCGGTTCGTGGTCCCCCTCTGGGCCCCCTCTTGGGCCCGTCTTGGGGCCCTCTTGGGCCATCTTGGGCGCCTCTTGGGCCGTCTTGGGGCCCTCTTGGGCTGTCCTGGGGCCCTCTTGGAAGCTTCTTGGGCCGTCTTGGGGCGGTCTTGGGCGCCTCTTGGGCCGTCCTGTAACGTCGGAAAGCCCAAAAGGCGACTTTGTTGAAAATGTACGTTTTACGAAGGGAATGGGCCAACTTTTGCGTCTAGGGGCCCTCTTGGGACGCATGTTGGAGGCTTCTTGGGGCGTCTTGGGGGCGTCCTTGGACGTCTGGGGTCTCCTGGGGCCTCTTGAGGGGCCTCCTGGGGGCCTCCTGGCGGCCTCTTGGGGCGGAAGGCTCGAGCTTGCGGTTCGTGGTCACCCTCTGGGCCCCCTCTCGGGCCCGTCTTGGGGCCCTCTTGGGCCATCTTGGGCGCCTCTTGGGCCGTCTTGGGGCCCTCTTGGGCTGTCCTGGGGGCTTCTTGGGCCGTCTTGGGGCGGTCTTGGGCGCCTCGTGGGCCGTCCTGTAACGTCGGAAAGCCCAAAAAGCAACTTTGTTGAAAAATGTACGTTTTACGAAGGGAATGGGCCAATTTTTGCGTCTAGGGGCCCTCTTGGGACGCATGTTGGAGGCTTCTTGGGGCCTCTTGGGGGCGTCCTTGGACGTCTGGAGGCCATCTTCAGCATCTCGGAGCCCTCTTGGAGGCCTCTTGGAAGTTTCTTGGGCCGTCTTGGGCGCTTCTGGGGCCGTCTTGTCTGACGGGGAGGCCTCCGGCAAGCCCCGACGAGCCTCCGGGCCCCCCGGGGCGCACATTTGTGGTCGAGGTCCCGGCCCCGGGCCCCCGGACCCGGTGCGCCGTTATATGTATATATGTATATATATATATATATATATATATATATATGCACTAGATACATCGCGCGAAGCGCTCAAGTTCTAGCTAGCTTCTTGGGGCCTCCTCGGAGCATCCCAGACTGCTTCTTGAAGTCGTCATGGGACCTTGTTGGCATGTCTTCGGGGGCGTCTTAGCAAGAATCTTGAAGCCTTGTGGGTGCCGTGTTGGGGCCTCTTTTGGGCTTCTTGGGGGCCTCTGGGGGCCTCTTGGGGGCCTCTTGGGGGCCTCTTGGGGCCTCTTGGGGGCTTCCTAGGGGCATCTAGGGGGCATCTGGGCCAGAGACCTTGGTTTTTCAGTTCGCGTTCCCTCTCTTGGGCCCCTCTTAGGGCCTTCTTGGGACCCTCTTGCGCCGTCTTGGGCGGCTCTGAGGCCGTCTCGGGGCTCTCTT